TTCCAATTATTCAAACACTTTAAATAAGTGGAACCGCCGTAGTTTCTGGGTTTAGCGACCAGAACCGGCAGGAATAGCATCTAAAAACATCATAACTTCATATTTTAACAGTTCAAGCACTAGATATGGAGAACCCCTGCAGTGATGGGCTGCTGCATCCTACATGCACAACGGAGCGTAAGCACAGATCCTTCCTGCCAGCAGCTGTTAGACTTTATGACCATCACTTCTCCCAACAGACTTAGGAACTCTTTACACTCCTGCTGGCATCTGCACAGCTTTTTACGCATTTTAAGCAACATTTCTGTTCATATCTGCACACCTCTTTTTATTGTCGGTTACTGTAAATATTTAGTTCTTTTTAAGGCACAAATACACAGGTACATTTCGGAAATCTTTTACAAATCTTTTCAGCTGCATAATCCTAATATAGTAATAAAGTTGCTGAGTTGGCAACAGTGGAATGATTATTATTAACTGTTAACATGCAGACATGACCTGCTGGGTGGATGTGGAGGCTGATTTTTAGACCTTTTCTTCACATGGACGTACCGGCCGAGCACCGGTCTCCCAAACGTAAGGCTGATTTATGAGCAAACTCTTAGTTTCAGCTTTCTTGTGTTGCGTCGCCAGCCTGTTTGTGCACGAGGTTGAAATTCCACATGCACAAACTTTGCCAGTCGCTTGGCTGGAGGAGGAAAATGATTTTTGCCGTAAGAATAGCTGGAAATGAACGAAGAGGGAGCGATTTCGAGCTGTTCACACCCGCTGTTGGCGATGCATCCTTGTTTCCAAAACCTGTGGAAACGAGTGTAGACTCTCAGCAAAACAGCAAAGTTTGAAGGCATCCGAACCGAATTAGTCCAAGAATAAAAGTTCAAACAGCAGGAGGTTCAATGAGGTTGAGTTTTTTAACTGCTAGTTTGGCTTTATGTTGATGTTATGTAGATGTAGAGGCTAGCTCTGTCAAAATGAACAATAAATCAATTAATGGCATAATAAAATAAAAGAATCTAATAATTTCCATTTGAATGATTTATCGTTTTTACTGGATGATAAAACTCTTCAGTCTGATGCTTTGGTCTCATCTGGCCTTTTCTGTGAAAGACAATTTTGTTTACACAGACTTTATAATTAATTTATTTACATTTCTGTTGTTTATTTGTTTTGGACATTTAAATGTCTTCCAGTTCCAGTGTTAAAGGTTCATTAGAAAATAAAGCTTACTGAGAATATGTGACCATTATATTACTTGAAAATGATCTCGAAACAACAATATTATTGTTTATTGCAATACTGTTGGGGACAATTTATCGCCCAGTAAAATGTGTAATTGTGGTAGGTCTAATTGCAGCTTTAGTTTATTTTCATGTAGCTTTGATGAAAACATATGAACCGATTTTTACATTTCAGATCCAGTTGAGAGTTTGAGTCGAGACAGAACCGATATTTCTCAGTTTGTGGTTATTGGTGGAAACAGAAGCGGAGCTCAGGAATCACCAGAACGTTTTTCTGGAACCTAAAGTTCATCTCATAAAGGAGAAATATACCGTATTTTCCGGACTATAGAGCGCACCCCACTATAAGCCGCACCTACAAAGCTTTTTCAAAAACTGGAAACGTCCATAAGCCGCTGGTATCTGGAGATCTGGCAGATCTGGCAGTACAGGCTACCGATCTGTACTGCCAGATCTGTAGCCTTCAACTTGAAAGCAGCATCATCTTCATGATGTTTCCATGATGAGGGGCTATGAGTTTGAAAACATTTCTCCATCATGCCTGCTGCTAGCATGTGCTTGTTCTAAATGAAAATTAGCACTTCTTTCATTTCCAATTTTTACTTCTAATGATTCACCTCCTGCTAAAGCGCCCCCTGGTGGTTGAAGAAAAATCCACAGAAAAAAACATGGGAAAAAAGTAGCGGCTTATAGTCCGAAAAATACGGTAATTAAAAATAAAAAATTTTCAACTAAATTCACAGCCACAAATTAACTATAACAACGATTTTCAATGAGAAACTGAATATGCATGATGGAACAGTTAGACATTTTGCAATTAAATCTTTACTTCAAACAAGTAAAAAACAAAACAAGAATGTAAATATATTTATATGTCATAAAGATATATATATGTATATGTAAAAACTTTAAAAACCAGATGAAAAGGATTAGGAAGAAGTCCAAGATTATTAAATCTGATTGTCTCATGCAAATATATCACACATTATTCATATTAAACATTAAGTTTTGCTTGTAATATTCATGTAATAATAAAATCTAGTCTGAGACTTCATTGAAAATTGCAAACATCATAAACAGATATGGGCGAAAATCCCAACATGTTATGAGTAAAAATAATTAGGGAATAAAAATCTCCTGAAACCAAGATGGCTGCTTTAAGCTCAGCGACGCAGAGTGTGTTTGGGATTACAAAGAAAAAACAGAAAAAACGTCTCCATGTTATCGAAGTTTGGTTCCTTATGAATAAGTTTTGCTCAGTAATTTAATTAGTCGCCTTGGCAGCAACGGTGAGGTCATTCAGCGCCGTTGGTTATGAAACAAACAGAAGATCTGTCAAACATCATCCAGTTAGTGTAAAGACTGGATCATTCAAATCAAACTGAAGCTTTAAAAGACGTCTCCATACTTTTACTGGCATCCAGCAGGAGATGTTCAGCTTTCTTCTTCATCTTGTTTTATTTTTTATCTTCCTAATTGAAACTCTGCCATATATCTGAGTGGTTATGCTTCTATTGTGAAAGACTTTAATAGCGCTCTAATGGATTATTGACTGGGGGGAAAAAGAAGCCACCTGGAAGACGATAAAGAATATTTTATTTTATTGTATGGCAAATTAAGACCGAAGTATTTAAACATATGGATTACTTTCATTTTGGCTTCCTCTAATGACAAGATTTAAATGGGAGATAAAATAAAATGAACTCAACGAGACGAGAGAGAGACTGAAAGTAAACCTTCAAACATAACAGAAACTCAGTGATGTCAACATTCAGTCATATTCAATAAATTAGAATACGCATTCTGATTAAAAGTTAAATAACCTAAAAGCAGGTATTAAAGAGTCTTCATTTCTCTATTAAAATGTTTTATCTGAAATAGGGATATCAGACGTTGGCTGCATTCCCACCAGGCCCATTTAGTCCGACTCCAGTCCATTTGTTTAGAAAGTCTGGTTCGGTTGGTGAGGTGTGAACGCTAAGCTAACTCTGGTTCTGTTTGAATGTGAACGCCAAGCGGACTGGAGACCGCTTCAAAAGCAGGAAGTGGACTACAGCGCAGGGCACTCTGGGTAAATACATCCAAACCAAATGTGCTAGCCTAGCGCTAGCAGCAGAAATGGCTCCTGGTCTTTAGCCTAAAGAGAAATCCTCCAACACTAAAATCCTCCATCTTGTTTCCATCTGGTGAAGAAGGAAGTTGCTCTCAGTGCCTTCAGAGGTTTTTGTGTCGTTTCCTTCAGTGGTTCTTGGTGCAGCGCCCCCACAGGCCAGGAGGGGAACAGGTCGCTCAAAGGGTTTGGCTGGTTTGACTCAGCGCATTGTGAAAGTTGATAGCATCTCAGCAGACCCCACACATGCTGGACATGAACTGTTTAGACCTCTACCTTCAGGTTGGCACTAGAGAAACAGGTTTTCCCCCCAGACTGTCTCTCTGATTGACACTAATCAGGAGATACTCGGAGCCCAGATCAATATAACGCATGTTAGCACTGATTCAACCTCGTCTTCTCTTTTTAAAAAAAAGAAAAAAAAAAAAGGAAAAACCTGTATAAACGTATGGCAACAAACCAACAACAGGTAGCTGGATGTGGAGTTTATCTGCATTCATTTTGCCTTCAGTTCATGTTAGAAAAACAAACCCAACAAATAACTGGAAGGTGCTGTGCTGAGCATTAATTATTCATCTGAACTCTTCTGGTTTCTGCAGTGATTGTACGCTATTTTTATTTTCTCTAATCTAATCCTAAATCCTTAGTTGCTGGTGTTGCGAGCAGTCTGATTGCCTCTGTGCCTGAAGGAGGCGTCGACCTTTTAACCTCTGGTTCATAATCCTGATTGACTGTAGCTGCTCGTTTCCGTTTCTGGATGATATCCAAAAACTTCTAAACAGAAATACTAAGTTTCTGGAACGGCATTCCTAAAGCTCTGACCTCAACTCTTTTAAAAAGTAATGGACTTAAAACCAGGGTCTGTTGAAGGAAACAATTTAATTTATGAACTCCAACAACTCTGCCAAAAAAAAAAAAAAAAAAGGTCAATAGTTTCTCAGAATTAAGGCAGACGTGGTGCAACTCAGTGATTTAAGTAATGCCGCAGCTGACTGTGGAGAAAAAGAGGGACTAAAATAAATCATTTTAATTTATAAATAAACTTCTGACAGCAGAATGTCTAATGTCTTGATTTGAAAAGTCTAACCAGATCAGAAACAGATTATTCTTCATAGAAGGTAATCTGGAATAGTTAGGAAGCTACACACGTGTAAATAATTTATCACAAATTCTGCTATAGTGCATTATTTCATTCAATATTAATAAAAACAAGCGCCTGCAGATGATGGCCGATGTCAGAGTGGGGAAGGAGGAACTCCTCCCTGAAGGCTGGTCCAGTCCAGTTTCTGAGCCACCTCCTGACCACAGGTGACAGCAAAGCAGAAACGTGAATGAACCAGAGAAAAACCAAACGCCTCCCCGACTGGTTTCATTTTTCTTGGCCAGACTGCCACTCCTACCTCGATCCACATGGGGATTTCATAAAGCAGACACACACACTTTGGGTCAAATTTAAATCAATGTACCTCCTAGGTTCTGCAGTCCAGATTAAGGCGTCCAGGACTCGTTTCAGTGTTTCACAGACCAACTCAGAGACATTTCAGCTTTCCGTACCTGCGGCTGTGTTACGTAAGAGACGGTTGAGCCTCCAGCTGACACACAAACACACTGACACCAGACACACACAGCGGCCTGCGAAGCCTTTGTTTTACCTCTGCAGGTGTTTCCCCGTCTTCCCGTCTTTTATCCCTCTGTTTTATCTCTCCGTTTTCTCCTCCTCACATTCCTGTCTCCATCTCCGCTTCTCCTTTATCTCAGCATCTTTTCACTTCTGTCTCCTGGCTGGTTCCCTTTCTCCACTCTTTTCTTGCTTTGAATCTGCAGTGGATCATAAAACACACCCTTCAGAGCTCCGTCTCCAAACCCCCCC